GAGTCAGTCTTTTAATAAGGAAAATAAATGAACGGATTCAGCTCATCTTCCCACGTTTACATACTTATGAACAAAACGCATGAATGTTTAGTGGCCAGCCATCAGACAGCGTTCGTCTGGTTTCCTTGGATACCACGTGTTTACTGTTTATCTTAAAACTGTATGTTTTCTGTTGTACTGTGAAAACATGTGTTTCTATTTTTATTGACACAGTTTTTAAAGGCTGACGTGTTTCATCCGTCTGTCTGCACATGTTGGCCCGTAGAGGAATATTTCAAACCATAGCTGTTTCTAAAAGCTGAAGTTAGCGAGGTGCCCACAGCAGCTGATCCTCTGCAGGTGTCACGCACACACACAGGCACACACAGCGTGCTAATGATTTCACAGGCTTGTGTTACGGCTAAACTGACCTCCTGTAGTTCTGTGCTCGTCAGTTCAAAGTGTCCGAGCAGCCGACCGTGGCCATGAAAACAAAAGGTTTATTCTAACACAGGACGTCTTGGCCTTGTGTTCTTGCACTGATGACTCAGATGGGGGCGCTGTACACAACAGACAGCGTGACTAGATTTTGCATGTAGTGTTTCTATAAACATCATGTGGTAACGGTGGTAACAGAAGGACACAGGTCATTATGCTGTGTGGAGCACATGTTTGTATGTAGCTCATACTGATAATGTGACGTTTACACACTGTGTGTAAATTCAGGAGAAAGCTCTCGCTGTGAAAGCAACCTGCACGCTCACCTGTAGTCTGTGTGCTGGGTCAGACTGCCTCCATCGAAGTAGCTGGGTGCTGCCTCGTTGTTCATCATGCTAAGGATCCTGCGGTTAGAAGGATCAGAAACACATGAGGCAGCAGTAACAGCCAGCACAGACGCTTCATCAGAGAGAAAAAGCTCACTTGATGTTGGGGAACTTTCTCCAGATCTCCTCCACAAACACAGGCAGGTTGTTGATCTTGTTCTTGTTGATGCACACTGTGGTGACGCTTGGCATGTAGGGGAACTTGACATGAGACGTGTAGTTGTTGCAGTCCAGGATCAGAGTGCTGAGCTTCTCCAGGCGGCCCAGCAGAGCCGGGTTCCAATAAGGACTGAGTGAAGGACACTAGGCCTGTACGTCAGTGAAGA